AAGTTATTGGAGCTTCTTAAAAATAAGTTTTGTCTGTACAAAATTTGTAAGTTTTCTAAAAAAGTCTTTCAGTAAAGATGAACCATTATATATTTATGTCAAATTTTTGTTTTAGTTCTGGGAAAATTCTTTTCTATATGAGGAATGCTCATGGGTTTCATAGCTGTCTTTCAAGGTCCTATTTTATTTTTTTGAATTTATTTGTATTTAAAGAAAGATAAAACAAAACAGAAAATAAGTAGAAATAGTACATACTTTCAAAGAAAATATTGAATCACATATTCTCCGCTTACAAATAATTGCTCAAGATACAAAAGTGGAACATATAAAAGGGAATTCAAAAAGGGAGACTGCAAATAGTTCTGTTCAAGTATCTAACAAAAACTAAGTAATATGGCTATCAATCCTATACACTTAAACTTGTATGCATTTATCCATATCTTTACTTATGTTGAGTTTAAACAAACCAAAGCAGATTAAAATCACTGTGATCAAAGATTAATAGTATTGCTAGATTTCACATCATGACACTATGGAATAAGCCCTGAGTACTGTAGTGCCTTTTTTCCCCTTCAAAGTATTTGTTCATTTCATCATGTGTCATAAGACCAATTCTCGTAAACTGTTGATAGTTTTTATGGAAGCATGCATCTTTTTTTTTAATTAAATAATTTTTTAATGAATAAGGGAGAGGATGAGATAAAAGGGGGTATAACAACATAACAAGGTCCTATTTTAACTGAGGCTCGTGTCATTAATCTTAAATGTGTTTATATTTTTTTAATACATACACTATATCTTCAGCTATAAGAAATTCATCTTTATGAGCCCCTGAATTGATAAAGAATGTTTCCTACTATAGTGAGGTGTCAAGTAATCACTAATCAGTCATTAGTGTTCATATCAAAAGAATGGCAATGATAATTCAAGGATACATAACCCCAAGTAACTGTATCCTTTTCAACAATTAAGTAATGTTAGCATTTATATTGAATCCAATGATTTCTTAAAATTGAAAATTGAAACTCAGGTTTTAAAATTTTAAATTGTAAATTACCTATGTATATTTTCATTTCTTGGCTTGCTTCCCATTGAGGATGTTTGGTTTTTAGTTGACCCGGCCTGCGGACCAATCTATGGGTCTCAACCTGGAGAGGGGACAGGGGATGGGGGGCAGGGCAAGAGAAAAGAGAGATGGAGACAGGATGCGATTCCAATCGAGTCTCGTTTATTTTCAAAATGGCTACAACTTATATAGGATGGGGGGCGGGCCAAAGGCAGGAAGAGGGCACAGAGTGTTATCTGATAGGCCACCATCACATCCGGATATATGACGTAAGCAGGAGGGGATTATGGGTAATGTAGGTGGACATGAGGATCATGGGAAATGTAGGCTGACACACAAAATGCCCTCAGGCAGGAGGGGCAGGGCGGCAGCAGCTATTCAAAGCCGCTCCCTACATTTAGTATTCCAGTGAGTGTGTTTTTTTCTCAGAAAAAACTAACAAAAATTTCTAAAGCTTTTTAAGTTACACTTTTGCTACCTGGTTCTTAAAAAGATACAATTAGTTGTTTCTTAGATTGTGTTTAAAGGAGCTTTAGTATATGATTGCAGTTAGAAAGAAGTAAATGATTGCTTGATTCCAGCAAAATGCAGCAAGCAGATTGGCCTTAAAATCAATTTTAATATTGTGTATCTTGAGAATAATATACCTTGCAGAAATTATAAACAAGTGCTTTAAAACATTTTGCATGAATTTCTTAGTCTGAAATTTTATTTTTACTTTGTGTTCTAATAGTTTTATAGAATCAAGGGAAAAGAGTGCCCCCTTCTGTAAACACATAAATAGTTGCCTTGGCACTTGTTTTGTGGGAAAGGGGTTAAGTGACATTTTGTCAAGGAGAGTGGGAAGCGGAGAGGAGGGAGAGAAAGGAACAGAAGGAGTGAGGAGGGGCCTCAGCTGGGAACTGTGCATCCAGAGGCACAGAAGCTGTCACCCTACCATCCCCAGAGCTGTGAGACAGGGAAAACAGCATGAGATGAGAAGCACTGGGACAAGCAAGCCACTGTTGGGTGGGATGCATCTCCATTTGTGTTGATTTTTTATCTTGTTTCCCAGCAGCTGCATCACCTGTCTGAAGGTAGGAACTGTGAACTCTTGGACTATCGGCAGCTTCTGGGCTCTAGGTTGGCTAACAGCCATTCCCTCTGCACAGGTCAGAGGATGGAGATGGCAAATCAGTGTACCCTGACTGGTCCCTTCAGCTGGAGGGATGAAGAGGCAAGGTCAGTCAGTGAGACCAACAGCTTCATCCTTGCCATGTAATCCTGATGTTCCTGGCTCTGTCTGAGAAGTAGAGCTTTTCAGCTTCACTAATCTCTTCCCATATGAAAGCTAGTTATATACTCTTTTCCTAAAACTGTAATTCTTGTTTTATCCTCAAATTTGAAATAAAATTGGAAGGAAAATGTAAGCCCTACATGACAGGACCATAATTTATGTGTGTCACTGCTGTGTGACACTGGGAATGGGCATGACTCTCCCATGCGTGTCAGTACCTCTTCTTCCCTGGTAATAAAGCTAATGCGTGGGAACATCATGCATGTATCACTGCTGGTTTACACCAGTGGGATCCTGTTAAAGCAGTGTTTATATTTTCAGTAACAATGTTATTTCATTCAGACGTGAACTACACAGCCTCAATAATTTGAGGCTGGACCTTTAATCTCTGTCAGGGTCAAGATGCCACAGAGAAAGTGAAGCGGCAGGATGCAGTGGAAGAGAGGGAACTGTGTTGATGTACAGAGAGCACTTTGGTGGCCTTCAGCAGTGCTGGTGACCCTTGAAGAAAGCATCATATCCAGATGTCCACCATGATGACCACATATACCAGAAGAATAATAGGACCAGTCGCTTCTGTTGACCTTACAGAAAGGTGAGTCTTGCACTGTTCAGCCTGCCTGGAAACATGGCTGTAATCCAGGGGGAAAAAAAAACAGTGTGAGTGACAGAGGAAAAACCGTAACTGTGTATATAATCAGCACATGATGATAGAGAAGGGCTTTGTAAGGGGAAAGGACCCGGCTTGGGGCACCATTGTGTGGAACCTTGGAACACGGTAAAATTATGAACCCACCACACCCTAAATTTTAGCATAGAGTCTGCATCTCGTGGTGTAATTGGAGGACATGTGAGGTGAAGGAGGCCCTGTCTCAGTGTTGGTCCAGTCCTCCTTCCTTCACCTGTACAAGGATGCTCTGTGGTTCTTCATCACTTCCTGATTCTGGAAGTCTGACAGCTGAAATGGAAGGTGCTGCCCATATGAGCATCTCCGCTGAGAGGCCAGGCTGGCAAACCTTAAGATGGAGTTGTGAAAGTAACAGCGTGGTTGGGCATCATCCCCTCTTGCTCTCTTCCCCTCCTCAGTCTCTGCTTCAGTGTCACGAGGCCCCAAGACACACTGCACTGTGGCTCATTGTGCCCCCAGGATCCTGGCCATGCCCTTACCACACTATACTCACAGGATTCAGCCATAGTTGGCAACTCCAAGTTAGTTGCGTACATTCATCAGCAGTGTCCAGTAACAGCATCTGATATGCCATGCTTTGCTCCCTACCCAAATGGACTGAATCCGGGCATAGAAATACCATCCTATATGCACATGTTCTACAAAACAGAAACTCTAAATACCCAAGGATTGGTGCATGAAATATTTTACTCATGTCCATAGGTGGAAAAAGTTGCAGAGCTAAGGTGAAGTTCAGAAATGACAATTTAGGGGCATCAAAAAAGAAAATGACAAGAAACCCAACTTGGGGAGGCTAAGTGGTAGTGATGTCAAACTTCACTGTAGGAAAAGAGAAGAGCTTTCCCAAGGACAAAGAAGGTGGCAACCTAGAAAATGCGTGTAATAGCCAGGATCATATTGGTGAAAAATATAAAGAAGAAAATGCCTGCTAATTCCTAATGTGTTAGTGTTGTATGATGCCTTATGTTCTACACATTTTTGTGGTATAGAAAGGCTGGGTTAGGTTGGGAATACAGGTGTGCACCTATAATCCCAGCACTGGGGTAGCTGAGCTGGTAGGATCTCTGAGAGTTTGAGGCCATCCTGGGTTACATAGTGAATTCCAGGACAGCCTTAGCTATGTAACGAGACCTGGCCTCCAAAAAACAAAGAGAAGAAAAGAAAGAGAGTATTCAATGTAAAGTCTTGATAGTTTTACATGTTTACCTATCTTTTAACTTTACTATTTGGATTTCATAAAAATCTCTAAAACTGTTTTAATAACAGAGACAGCGAGGAAACTCCCCACCCACCCAAAAGAAAGTGTAAACTGTGGGAGATGATTTCTGTTTGGATGGTGTTACACATTCAGAAGAGTGAAGAATGAGAAATACACCTGAGGTTTTGGGGAAGGAGGTGGTTGGGATCATCCCAAGGTTATACAACCTTTGGGACTGATGTGTGAGTGGGAGGTGCTCATCAGTGGTGACTTTCTGAGGAGACTGGGGACCTTGTGCATCAGCACAGTGGGCTTTTGGAAGGCAGGGGCCCCTGACATTCCATGACATCAGCACCTTCCAGTTCTCTGCTGTGACTGTGGACCGTTGCCTGGTACCCTGGGCACAACTAGCTCCTAGGAGTCTGAGTTTGAGCTGCAGGCAAGACCTTCATCTCTGAACTTAGATTGTTTGTCAGTGAAATTCACAAGTATTGGGTGTTGATCAGCTTGTTTTCAACAGTGAGTTCATCATTGTACTTACTGTCCTTCTTCAGTCCTGAGCCAACCTGTTTTTCTTTTGTCTCACATTATTTTGTTTTGTGTGTAAGTTCCGATTTGAGTCAGGATCTCACTATGTATCTCAGGTTTTGCGTGAAGTGTCAGTGATGGTCCTGCCTCACACTTCTGAGTTCAGGAATCACAGGCCTGCAAAACTATGCTCAGTTTCTTTCCCTTGGATGTTAAGCTGGGTTGTGTTTGGCTTTGTCCACAGCCCTTGGACGGAAGTCCACACTCACTGCCATCCCTATTGTGGTACCGCGCAGCCCCGATCCCAGGACTGAGATGGATATGGTACCATTCACAGAAGAAGTGTGCTCTGGGATGAAAGAGCATGAAGTGCAGGTTGCCCCCTGCAGCTCCAGTTCAGGGAGACCCATAGCAGCCCTTGGCTCTCTGGACAAGTTGCCGGAAAGTGGTGAGTTTTGCAGCTTCGCGGTGAATAAAATGATAAATGATTCTGTTTTCCCTGTACAAATGAAGTGGTCTGCAGACGTGATTCTTCTCTTTCCTTTACCAAAATCAAGTGACCTTCCCACATTCCCAGAAACAGAAGTGTGGTATTTTGTCCTTAACTTGAGTTAACTACTGAGATTTAAATCACATACCAGTTTCTCCAAGTTTATATTAAGGAATAGAATGGGACCAGTGTAAAAACCCCAGTTACCAGTTCCTGTTGAGGGCATAGAATGATCCTGTTTTTTTTAGAACAGGTCAGGCCATTTTGATGAGGTTCCTGAAATCAGATTCCCTACTCAGATCCTCCAGACTGGTAGCCTCACTAGTCACCTAAAGTTCTGGCACCAATGGTCTTACCTTGCACTGAAGTTCCTGTGGAATTGAGCAGAGCACCCTGCTGTTTATACCAGGGAAAGGAGGGGACGGTGCTTCCAGTAGGTTTCAGAGGAGCTCAGGAAGATTCTGCTCCTAACTGAACTTTTGGCAGCCATCATTGTCACCATGGAGATCAGGAAGTAAAATGGCAGGGACGATAACCTGCTTGGTGGGGCACAGGCTTTTCTTAGGAAGAGCCCCCTGACTCATTCAGTGGAATGTGTGTCTTGGGTAACAGACTGTAGCAACCATTGTCTCCCCTGGAGCAATTGGCTCTCAAGAAGGGGGCTAGCAGCAGGCCAGGTGGACCCTGAGGGTCTGAGCTCTGAGACACAAGGGTGCAGTGAGAAAAGGCATGAGGAGGAGAGTACCAGCTGTTGTCCACACCAAGGCTAGAGCAGTATGCTGCTGACCTGTGCAGAGGCTGAGGTAACTGAGGTAAATCAGGGAACTGTCCCAGCAGTGTCAATGGAAGAAATGTCACCTTTGACCCTGAAGTTCCCATATTGAGCTACAGCAATCTCTGCAAAAATTCATTGGTAGAATATTTTTTGTTTTGTTTCGCTTTCAGTTGAAAGCATTTCAGAAAATCAGAAGGGAACCTTGTGAAGAAACTCGCCAGATTAGGTTTAGGAGGAGACCAGCTGTGTATCTCATCAATGGCACCCTTACAATCAGAGTTAATTGTAGCTTGAAAGCTATTGATGATAACAAGGGAGAAAGCCACCCCCATGCCCTGTAGAGGAACTGTGTGGAGCATGGGTACTGTGCCATAGCTGGCTCTACTCCAGAAATCTGACACTCTGGGCCCTCAGATACTACCATTTTGTGATCTGTACCAGTCCCTCCTGCACAGGGTTACAGTGAGCTCATGAGTTCCCTGCAGGGACACCCTTGCCGCAGGGCTTGGCACTGGCCCACACTCATGGTGGGGTTTTCTAGTCTACCTGAACCCCTGCATTACAGTGTAGGTATTTACTGTCAGCTCCTCGTGCTGCTCTGCCTTCCATTGTATGCACATGGCCAGGTGAGAGTTTTCATCTTGAGAAGCTTGTTTGTCCCAGGAATCCCAGCCCAGGGCCCTTGGAGCTCCCATCCAAGAACAAAGCTGGTGCTGCTTTCTGCCCGGCTAAGGGTGTGCATTGGCAGGCTGCAGGCTTGGTTATTGCCGTGGTCCCTGATGCCCATGGAGACCACTGGGTTGTGAATTCTGACTGTGTGTCCTGCTGGCTGAGCCATTTGTCTTTCTTCTTGCCTGCCAGCTTCTCTCTCATTATCTCTAAAATGGGATGAACACATATTTCCTGTGTAAGAGACTAGGAAATCACAGTATGATGCAGAACTATCCTTGTCCTTGTTGTGGGTGTGGGCTTCTCTGCAGGCAGTGCCTACAGTGCATGTCCAGCTGCCCACTGAGGCAAGCACATGTGTCTTTTCTCTGGGGCTTTAGGATACAGACATCATCACTCTCTGCTCTGGGAGTGGCTGCCCACTGAGGAGCAGGACATGTCTGCCAAGTTGTCTCTGACCCAGCAGCCGAGGTAAGGGGGTGTATGCAGTGCAGGTAGGGGAAGGTGTGAGTCCCTACAGGGGACAGCTGGGCTGTGAGAACCAAGAGCTGGCATGGGTCAGGGAGGGCAAGCACCTAGGCACAGGCTGCAGTTATTCATGAAAGGTTGAGGGAAGAAAGAGGTGGTAACTGTTGGACCGAAATGCTCTGAAGCCCCTCCTCTGCACCTTTTAGAGGTGCACTGAGGTCAGCATCACATCATGCAAAACTAAGCAAGACAGTAAGCGTGTGTGTGGATTATTGAGGTGGCAGGCTTTGGTGTGCTTCCAGCCCTGTCTTTTCCCTCTTCCTCCCTTCACCTCCTGCACGGTGATGGTGTGTCCTGCCTTCATTCACAGGAACCATGTCTTCCTGAAGCTGCAGAGCTCGGGCTCTGCATGTGACTGAGTTCTACTTGGAGGAACCCAATTTCTTCTCCAAAAGCCTCTTATCAATGCCCTAGGAGTGCCCCGCACCCCTCCGCAGGCTCCCATTGCTGCTTCCTTCCCTCCTAGACACTCCATGCTCCTTATTTGGAAGCATGATCTGGAACTCTCCGAATTAAGTGACAACCTGATTCAAGGGAGAGGACTGTCACTATTAATAAAGAAAAATCTGGAGGTCCTCCTGAGCAGAGGTTACCCTGACACCACCGAGGGCCAGGGCTACAGACAGCGTTTGCTTGAGGGCTACAGGCTGGTGGGGCAGCTCATCCACAGCCTGGATCCAGGTGAGGAAGCCCAGGCCCTGAATAAAGTCCCCAGCTGGAGAGATTCTACTCACACAGCAGCCTATTTGACAACTCTTTTGGTGCCCCTGTCACTCCTTAGAGATGTGGAAAATTCAGGAGTGCTCCCAGAGGAACTCAAGGGAAGAATGCACAACTAGGATCTCATAGCATCCCAGGGTCCTTTGTCCCTGAGGGAACCTGGCTATGACCTGGGGAGGCCTCATTCTCCTAGTTTTAAGGCTGGGAGATGTGGTGGAGGACATGTGATTTGAATAAAGATCACTCTGCAGTTTCCCAAACCCCAACCTCATGGCTTCTATTTCCATTTCCATGCCAGCATGGCCCTGGGGTCTGTGATGGGGATGGGGAGCTACTCAGAGCCTGACTGCACATATGTGAATTTGGTTGCAGAGATTCCAGAAGAGGAGGAGGAGGGAATAGAAGAGCCAGCACCGGCCACCAGGTAACTGGATAGTCAGGGCTGAGATTCATATGGGGACCACTGGTGTGGGTCCCATGAAAGCAGAGCTGAAGGTCGACAGAGCACAACTTGCACAGGCCGGAAGGCATCCTGAAGCCGGCACTCTGAGTCCATTCCCTCAAGTCAGCAGAAGCGCCTTTCTAGCAGTGTGGGTCTTGTTCCCACACTGGGAACTCATCTCTACCCAAGTGCACCTAAAACAACCTCACCGGTATTTGAACTCATAAACAGTCCACTTTCCTGTTTTGTGAAAACATCCTGGCTGAGATTTGGATCTGGTTCTGTATTGTTCCCCTCAGCTCATTGGCAGGAATTTCCTGCTACAAAACTTAAGATGATCAAAAAATCTCAGTTCCCGTGTCTATGGAAAGGGACTTAGGCTTCACAAAGACATGCACACTCCTTTCTCAGCCACTGTGACTGAGCTCACGTAGAAAAGTCATCCAATTCACAGAAAAGTTGAGCTCTGACATGGTCTCTGGGTGTGCTTAGGGTTGTGGTTGTGTCTGTGGTGTTGGAGGCTGGATCCTCATCAGCTGGTCATCCAGCCCATTTGCTATGCCTCTCTCCTGTCCCTACTGTCTAGGCAGCTGCACTCTGCCTTCCTAGGAGGACACATTCATCTTTGACATTTGTGTGCTGTGTTTGTGACCACTCCCTTACATCTCTCCCAGAACGCTTGAAATCTCAGGTCTCATCTTTCTGGGTTTTCTTGTTCCTCATCCAGCAGTGTGAGTGCAGAGCACCAGCACTGTGATGAGGAGGAAGACATCCTTCAGGCCTCCCAAGGTAAAGAGCACAAGACTTCCCCCACTGCCTGTGAGGCTGGTGACAACCAGCAGCCTCCGGTGCCACTGCAGCCCAGGTGGATGAGGCTGAGGCGCCTTCTCCACAGGCCCTGGGTGAGTCCTGCATTAGTAAGTGAACTACATACATGTGGCCCCCATTTCTGTGCGTCCAATGCAAACTCAGTGTGACAGACACAGGACATGTAGAGGGGACTGGTTGAAGACACTGTAACAGCTCCCAGCCATCACTAACCCAGTTCTGGCAGGCATCTGTTCATTTGTTCACTTTTGCTTTTGAAGCTGGAACAGCTGTGGTGTCTTGCAGTGTTCTTGCCAATTGCTGCTCCTGAGTACTTTGACCTTTAGTTACTGTACAAGTATCACTACACTTGATACACTCACTAGAGATGATGTTAGGGTTCCTCCACTCCCAGCCAGCATCTCTGTCTCTTGTGGGCCTCTCTCCCATGAAAGGTGTCAGTTCCCTGCCATGACATAAACACTGAGGACTGTGCCTGCCAGTATCCTGGAGATGCATCTGAGCCTTGGGAGTCTCACCTTCTTGGATGCCAGCACTGTCTTCTCTGAGTGACCCTCAGGCTGTAACCTCCTTGACACTCTGTAGAGTCCTCCATGCACACAGACTCAGTTAAGAGTAACCACAGCCAATCTGGAACCCTCAGGCTCTTCCACTCTCTAAGGAACGTGTGCTAGGGGACATGAGGACTCTGCTCTTAAAGAGTTTGTTACTTCACTTGAGTCTAATCTTGAGATCTCTAGTCAGCTGAGCTCAGGAGTTCTTGATGAGTCTGGTGTTTGAAAGATGATCAGATGTTATGAGGCCAGTTCCCGGGACATCTTTGGGAAGATGCTCACTAAGCTGTGTCCCAGCATGGAGACCAGGACCCTGTGTTATTCACCTGTCACAGCAGAGTCTGTCCAGGGGCTTGGGCAACCATGCCCCCTGCCCTGTCACCCAAATTCTCATAGGCTTCCTGCAGCACTGTCTCTGATTGTCATGTTTTTCTTTAAGTATTGACAATGGTGGGCTTGCAGGGTATGACGCAGAGATGGCGAAAACACACCATCCAACACTAATTTTATTTCCAGAAGATCAGAATCACCTGGATTTTGAAGATGCCCTGGAGCCAGTGGCCACCAGGTAACTATTAACTATGATGATGTTGAGGCCTGCTGTGTAGACCCCACAAAGTCACATCTCTGACACACTTCCTTCACCCCATCTTCCCACCGCAGTGGATATGTTGAAAGTATGCTGGTGCCTTTGTGCTTTTTCCTGGTATGGAATCCTGATTTAACTAATTTCTGAAATACCTGAATATGCTACAGAGGAACTGTGATGACCATGGGTTTCAGCACTATTCTGTAGATGGAGATTTGATGCCTGCAAGATGAAACTCAGCGATGTGGAATTGCCCTCTGCACATGGGGACTTGATTTCACTGGCAGGTTTTCATCGGCAGGAAATTTTGTCTACAAGGAATCACTTTTCTCAGAGTTTGAGGTACAACTGCTCAGGAATTCACTTGATACACATGCAAGTGCACCAAGTTATATATATGTGGGTCTCAAACGCATGGCAGCCTTCTATTCGAAGGCCTTTCTGGGGTGCAATCAGGAAAGTCCTTGGGTATGTCCTGATCACTGACCATCACCCCAATTTCCCTGCATTGGTTTCCCTCTGTTTTTGAAACATGCTGTGTTGTCATTTATGGCCATGTCTGGCAGGTGAGCTCTGATGATGTGTTTTGTCCTCCTTTCTCCTCTGTGTATTTCAGGTTTGCCACTGAAAGTTTCACATGTTTGAATGCGGAGCCATTTTCAAAATGGAGGTCCATCATCTTTTACTTAAGACAGAATATCAGAGATGTGCTGTCTCAGGATGGCCCTGTGAGGCGCCCAGGACAAAGCCACCAGAGAAACCATTTGGGTTGGTGCAAGGTGGCCAAGGACTTAGCCAGCTTGGCCCAGGTGAAGACTGCAGGCTGATCCTGCCTTGATTTCTGTTCACTGTGGTTCTAGCATTCAAGTAGGGACTCTGTAATGTTGTTCTTTTGGAGGGCTCTGGTCACTCCTGCCATTTCTCTTGGGATCATATGTCATAGAAAATGGTCATGGGTTTTGAGTAACAGGGCCACAACTCCCATACATAAATGACAGAAGGCAGATAGAGGGTGCTGGGCAGGGGGCAGTTTGTGGACACTGTAGGACAGGCTCGTTTCTCCTGTTCTTGGTGAAAAGAAGCAGAGGAGATGGGAGCCATGAGATGTGAATCTATTAGCCATCTGGTTCAGGTGCATGACAGGAGTGAGGAGGATGCCGGTCTCTGCGGACCAAGATCAAAGTAAACTTGGCCCAGTACAACTCAGGGTAGACCTGGACCAACTTCCCCAAATAGGGACAGTGTGTACTAGAGAGCAGAATGTCATCACAGACTGTTTCTGTGAGGCAGCACAGAGGTCATTCAGTACTGATCCCCACATCCATCTGAAAAATCATGCACACCCATCCATGTCCTCATGCTGCAATAGCCACAAGTGACGGGTGCAGTGGCACCATGCAGTAGCCATCTGGACCTTCCTGAATTTGCTTGCAGAGCACCACTCTGATAGAGACAAAGAAGAAAAGGAGACTCAGTCACTGGATCCCAGGTACGGTTAGGGGCCATAAGCAAGTGTGACAAGAGCGGTTGCATAAATCTCAAGACCAAGGTTCAGCAGTGCCCACACATGGGACTCTCAAGAGTTAGAATTGCCCACCAGCTGTCATGGGATCCTTGATCCAGCCATAGCCACTTTTTTTTTTTTGTCTTTTTTATTGGTACCAGGGATCGAACTCATGACCACCTGCTTGCAAGGCAGGTGCTTACGCTGCTGAGCTAAATCCCCAGCCCCCAGCCTTAGCCACTTTGACTTGTACAAAGTGCTGTGTATCCTCTCAGATGATTAGAGAGGGCATGGGCCCAAGAGAACTAAGAAATCTTGGGACCTGCATGCCTTGAAAGATACCTCTTATCCTTGGAAAGGTTAAAGTCAGTGTTCCATGCACCTTGTCTTTCTGAACTATGGGCGTGAGTTTATGGACAGAAAGGACAGTAGATAGAACATCCACAGAGAGCCATGTCATGTCTCGGTATTGATGAGAACAGGCTGAGAGGGCCCAAGTTCTCCTGCAGTCACTGCAAAGCCTGTCATCCCTGGACCTAGGCAAATCCCCATTGTTTCTACACTACCCCTGCCATAGTTTTCCCTGGAAATTCCCTGTCCAGCTGCACCTCAGAGGGAAGCTGCTTTGTCTCCTCCTCAGCTGGTTATGTGGAAAGCGGCCTGAGCAGGGGCTGCTCTCTCATACCTGTGACCCTCTTTTGTCTGCTTCTCTGCTGTGCTTCTCTGTCTCTGTCTCCTGCTCTCACTTCCATTCACATAGTAGTCAGACAATGCCCAGATCAGAGAACAGTTTCCTTCATTCTCTGACTAGAAGGCCCAAGGTATTGGAATTCACCCTGAAGCTTTGATGGAGGCTCACCTAGGAAACTTCATTCTCCAATATAAATTTTTTTTCAAACTGTCCACACCTAACTCCATGTCAGTGTTGATGTACGTGATGAAAAAGTGAATGACTTTTCAGAGATATCAGTGGAGGAGCTGTCCTCCCTGGGTTCTGGGCAGCCCTTTTCACCAGCACCACAAAAACATCCTCTGAGCAGAGACATCCCTGCGATTGAGCCTGAAGCAGGATCTCTGCCTGATGACAGCAGTGAGTACCCCATCATCCTGCTGGAAGCGCAGCTCAACTGTCCAGGCTTCTCAGTTCTCAGGGTCTCAGCTGAGAGAGTCCACTAAAGCTCGGCCAGGAGTACCCTTTGGTTGTAGAGGAGGAGTAGAAGTCTGGGACCTCAGGAGCTTCACTGAGTTCCTTGTGCCTGGCAGACTGTGTCAGCCTGGGTCTCTCAGTGCGTACCTCACCCCTGCACATGGGCCAGAATGAGGAGAGGGGAGTGCAGCCTTGCAAGGCCCACTGACACCTGTGCTCTGTGGGCTCAGATCTCTACCTGAAGGACTCTAGTCATGTGCCTCTATGGTCTCTCCTAACCAGTCTTTCCCTGTTCTCTGCACATCTGTATGGCTGGAAGCCTCCCCAGGTCTCTGAAGGCGTATTTGTGAAGCTGAGGCTCCCAGCTCCCAGCTGCTGTCCCGCCACACTGCTGCCTTCCCCCAGAGGAGCCCTAGGGCATCCCTTTCCCTGCCACTGCCGAGAATCCATCCTCCTCCCAGCATCAGTGGTGTCTCACCTGTCAGGCTTTCATTTCCACCACATGTCTCATCTCAGAGTTCTGCTTCCTGTCAGCCTCACCTGACAGAGGACAGAACTCCTGTGTGCCGTCACCCCAAGTCCCTGTTTTCTTCAGCAAGAGCCCCATGGCCACATCTCTTGCTGGCCTATGTGGAAATAAACCTCAGGTCACTGTTCTTGCCACCAAGGTCTTTTGATCTTTTTGTCACAGAAATGCTGTGAAATTCTGTTTATATTTACTCACTGCATGAAGTATCAGAGACAGGGAAGCTGTGATGTCATTCTGTAAATCTGAGTGCCATCGAGTGGAAAGAGCCAGGACACATATGGTTCCATTTCCCCATGTGGCAGCCAACACCTCTTCACTGTATGATTGTACTATTACTGTCCCTGTTCTGCAAACATGGAAGAGGGTACAGAGTGTTCTCAGGTTCCAGGCACTTGAAAACAGGAGTTCAGTACACAGTCTGGGCATGTGCTATGTGCAGAGCCTACTTCCATGTAGCTCCATTTCTAGTATCAGTCACGACAGCCTCCAGGTATATTATGTGTGATAATATAAACAAAAACTTATAGACAAGGAGATAATACAGAAACCATTGTTCATTTTCTGTTCATTCTAAATACCCTGCAATACTGTCATTCTCTTGAATGGTTTTACATTGTCTTGATATGTTTGATGCTAAAGTACATGAAGTTATACCCAAAGATTTTAAGGGAAGAGACACTATGGTAACTACTATTATGTCGAGATTATCTTGTGGTGAAACACTATTTTGCTTAAGTGGCTATGTTTGGACCTGCGCTGTTTTGTTGTTATGCCCTCTTTTTTATCTCAATCGTCCTTTTTATTATCTACTTTTTCATTTTTATCCTTTTAATTAAGGGAAAAATAAATAGCAGGATATATTATAGTAACCCACTTTGATTTCCTATTAACTTGATTTGAAACTCTGTATTGCTCTCACCATCGTGTTTTGACTGATTTTCCTCTATTCTGTTATGCTTGATAGTACCAAGTTTGAAAGTATAGACAATAAGATTCATTGTAACGTCCATTCTGGTTGACTATTATCTTCTTTTGAAGTCCTCTAATGTCTCCAGTGTTTTGGTTTTATTGGTCTTACTCTCTACTGTTTGTTCAATTTTATTATAACTGATGATATAGGCAATTCTTTTTAAGATAACAAGAGGCATTATGATAACCATTGTTGATCACCTTGTATTTTGTTTTTACATTGTGTATTATGTCCATTCTTTTGATTTGACTGACTCTGTCCTGGTATGTCACATTTGGTTTTACTTTCTTTAAAAAAAAAAAAAAAAGTAATAAGAACTGTGGGAGTAATCAAACCCAAAATGTGTAATTGTCATTGTACAAAAGAAAGGAAAGTTCTCTAAAAGATATAACTGCATATATATTTAAGTGTATAAGATAACCATATTACTGAGTTTTGTTGGACCATTGAACAGAACTGCAGTCTCACTGCTTGAAAGTCCCCTCTATATGCTTTAAATTTGTAACTTCAAAACTGTAACTATTTTGAAGATGACAATATGTAATTAACTAGTGATTTCCTACTGTTTATTTTTTCTGAAATTCTATATAACTTGTACCCTTTTTCTGTTTTTTTCTTTTTTCTGCTTAAATAAAATTTTTAAAAAATACATCAACCCTTAGAACAAATTTACCAAAAGAATGAAGGGAAAGACCCTTATCAACCAAATCAGAAATAAAAAAGGTAAAATCAAAAGGGACTATGCCAAGCTTCACAAGATTAAGTACTTTAAAACATGCAATTCAATACACTTGAGAATACTAAATAAATGAATACATTCCTTGACACATATGAATTATCCAAACTGAATCACAAGGCAATGTGGCACACACCTGTAATTTCAGCACTTGAAATTTCACACACCTGTAATTTCAGCACACACCTGTAATTTCAGCACCCAAGGATTTCTGGGAGTTAAAGTTCAGCTTGGGCTGCAAAATGACTTGACAGCTAGCCTCAACCATACAGTGAAACCCTGTCTCAAAAAGAAACAGGAGGGGGAAAAACAATCTGCATTAAGAAGGCAAAAGCCCAGAAAACTCCAATAAGAGGCCACAAACTCAAGGAATTAATAAAATACCATCAAAGAAGCCCAGGGTTCAAGAGATTCACCACTCAATTGGGTAAGAACTTTGGGAAAGATCTAATGGAAAAAGGCCTCAAAGTCCTTCACGAAATTAAAAGGGAAGGATCCCTTCCACCCTCATTCCTAGAAGCCAGCATTACCTTCATTCCCAAACCAAAGGTCAAACTGAAAAAGACCACTACAGGCCACTCTCTTTGACACATTCCCTTAGCCTTGATCCTCCCCTGACACAAGTGTGACTGTGCTGGGGGCAGCTTGTTTCACTGGGGCTATAAATCCTACAGCCAGGCTCTGGTCATAGCTTCTTCAAACAGCATGGCAGTGAGACACAGGAAAGGGGCATGTTGTGAATGTGGTAAAGAGCACAGATGCAAAAGTCCTCAGCAAGATAATGGCAAACAGGATAACAAAGCAGTAAAGCAGATCATACATCAAGACCAAGTACGCTTCATCTCAGCAATGTAACGTGGTTCAGCATACACGAATCACTTCATTACATAATGGAGAAGCAAGTACAGAAATCACATGACCACCTCAGTACACGAGTTAGAATGGCAAAACCTGACATCTACTCATGATGGAACCTGGGAGAAATCAGGAATAGATTTTACCTCATCATGATAGAAGCCACTGATGACAAACCTGGTGACAATAATCATATTCACTGGGGGGAAATGAAAAGCCTGTCATAATATCTGCGAAGAGTGTGTTCATGATCACTACACGACTGTTCAGTACACTACATGAAAAACCAAGTACATAGGAATTAATCTGACCAAGGAAGTGAACGTCCTCTAACATAAAAACTACAATTTCCAAAAAATGAGATTAAAGAGCACATTAGAAAACATAAACAGATTCATCATTTCTGAACAGACAGATCCAACATTGTCAAAATGGCTGTTATTACCAAAATGATATCGGGAATAAACAATCCCAAGGAAAATACCACAGCATTTTTCAAAACACTAGAAAACAAATATCCTAAAAGTTACATAGAACCAGAAGTCACCTAGAACAAGAAAAGTAATCATGGAGAATAAGAGCAAAATAGCAGGCAGCACAATCTTGGATTCTGAGTTATAGGACATAGTCACGGTGAAAAAAACAGCATGGTACTGGCACAAAAACAGGCAAGTAGATAACTGGATGGTGTAGAGGACACAGAAACCTAGACACATGCAGCCACTTAATCTCTGACAAATTGACAATTTTTTAAATAAATGGTGCTGGGAATATTAGCTACACACATGCAGAAGACTGAAGCTGGACCCTTATTTGTCATCATGTACTACAATTAAAAATAACTCAAAGAGGTAAATAATAAAAAAATAAATTACTCAAAAGTGGCAAGACTCTCAAAGTTATTAGCATAGACAAGTATTTTCTGATCACACAGCAGCACAAAAAATGTCATGACAATAAATTGGAGTATATCAAATTAAAAGGCTGCTGTACATCAAAGAAAATAATTACAAAATCAAAGAAAAACCTATGAAAGCGCAATGGTTTCAGTCTAACAAAGACACATATTCCTAGTTTCTTAAGTATATTAACAGAGGACTACAGCTGACAATCATTCACATGTACGACTTTTAAAAATGTGAAGTAGAACAAAACAGCAAACACACTAGAAAAAGCAACTCTTTACTTAAAAGACACCCAGAGAGTGAAAATTTCTCTGAAAATGACAGCATCAGGACCCATAGGCTGTCTGAGCTTCCTCTGGAAGCAGCCAGCACATTAACACAGTTGCATCCTGTAAAGCTGCTGCTAGTGGAGGAGACTCTCCTGCAGAGGAGACAGACAACCCAGCCGGAGCCATATGTGGCCTCTGGAGAAAGCTGGCTGTCCTGTCCAGAGACTGAGTCCCTACCCAGCAACTGGCCACAGGCAGCTTCCCCCATGTTGGTGCACTCTCCTCCTCTGCCCCTGACAACAAACTGACACATTTATAGCCTCAGCTCTGGTACCAGTGACCATTTAAATAACAGGCTGGAAATCACAGAACTACCAGCTCCCCTGCACACACACACCATGTAAATACATAAAATGATCTGCAAGTAACCTTTAGAACTGGCTGACAGTCCCCCTGTCCTGGTCTAAGGCAGGCCAAACACAGCCATGTCATGACTACCCGGTGCCCACCGGGACAGCAAGTCCATCCTGGGGAGTGTCCACTCCCTGCCAGTCTCAGGAGGCTGTAAGCTTTCCTAGGGGTTGGGAACCAACCCGACTCCCTCTGTCTTGAGGATGAGGCTCTGACAGCACAGAGCCGGGAGCCCAAACACTGCACACACAAATGTTGGATCCGGGGTTACACAGGTGAGGGAGGCCTGGGAGCAGCAGCCACACAGGGCGCCGCCCCCCCCCCCCCCCCCGCCCTCCCAAAGCGCTGAACCGTTGGTCTGGGGTGAGGCAAGAGGAGGACAAAAAGCGGGGACAGCGGGTCCCCACCACCCCTCCCGGGGCGGCTCCGTGTCTTCCTCTCCTAGGGGGACTCCTCAGGGAGGCCGGAGATCCGCGAGGGCGGAGCTTCCTTCCTGCTCCCCGTCCTGGCCCGAGACCCTGCCCAGCTGCGCCCCCCCAAGAGAGGACAGAGCTGCAGAGAAGCTCAGAGCTCTGAAATCTGGAGAAACCCGGCGGCTGGGCCGTCCTCCCGGGCTCGTGGGCTCACAGGCTCGCGGTGAACGCTGCCAAGAATACGCGGAGCCAGGGCGGCAGTGAGGACAGGAAGAGGGCGCCGGGTCCCTGCCCCCCCCCCAGCCCTAGGGCCGCCCCATTTTTGCGGGACAGGCCCTTGGCCCCCCTCCTGCTCACCTCGTGGTTTGTGCGCAGTAAGGCAGTTTCTTCAAAACGGAGGTGGCCTATTCTGATTCTGCTACACTTCTGTCCTCCCAGTCCTTCAGCGGGGGTCACCACACGGTCAGAGGTCACGGAGGGTTAGGGTTAGGGTTAAAATACAATTCCGGAAGTAGAACACAGTAAGTAGGATACAGGAAATAGATTTCCTGAATTAGAACACTGGAAGTAGGGTTCAGGAAATTGAATTCCGGAAGTAGAACACAGGAAGTAGGAATCAGGAAATAGAATTCTGGAAGTAGAACACAGGAAGTAGGATTCAGAAAATAGAACTCAAGAAGGAGAGGACAGGAAGTATGATACATAAAATAGAATTCAGGAAGGAAAACACAGGGAGTAGGATTCAGGAAATGGAATTCCGCAAGTAGAACACAGTAAGTAGGATTCAGGAAATTCAACTCAGGAAGGAGAACACAGGAAATAAGATTCAGGAAATAGTACACAGGAAGTAGGATTCAGGAAATAGGCCTCGTGTAGGAGAACACAGGAAGTAAGATTCAGGAAATAGAATTCCAGAAGTAACACAGGAAGTAGGATTCAGGAAATACAATTCCGGTAGTAGAACACAGGAAGTAGGATTCAGGAAATAGAAGTCAGGAAGGAGAACACAGGAAGTGAGATTCAGGAAATAGAACTCAGAAGTAGAACATGGGTAGTAGGATTCAGGAAATAGAATTCTGGAAGCAGAATAGAGGAAGTAGGACCCAGGTAATAGAATTCCGGAAGTATAACACAGAACATGAGATTCAGGAAATAGAATTCCAGAAGTAGAACACCGGAATTAGGATTCAGGAAATAGAATTCAGGAAGGAGAACACAGGAAGTAGAATGCAGGAAATAGAATTCCAGAAGTAGAACACAGGAAGTAGGATTCAGGAAATAGAATTTCGGAAGTATAACACAGGAAGTAGGATTCATGAAATAGAATTCCAGCAGGAGAACACAGGAAGTAGGATCCCCAAAATACAAATCCTGTAATAGAACACAGAAAGTAGGATTTTGGAAATAGGACTCAGAAAGGAGAACACAGGTAATAGGATTGAGAAATAGGTCTCATGTAAGAGAACACAGGAAGTAAGATTCAGGAAATGCAATTCCGGAGTAATACACAGGAAGTAGGACTCAGGAAACTGAATTCCGCAAAGAACACAGGAAGTACGATTCAGTAATTAGAATACCCGAAGTAGAACACAGAAACAGGATTCAGCAAATAGAATGTTGGAAGTAGAACATAGGAAGTAGGATTCACGAAGTAGAACTCAGGAGGTAGAACACAGGAAATAGGATTCAGGAAATAGAATTCCGGAAGTAGAACACAGGAAGACAGATTCAGGAAATAGAATTCCCGAAGAACAACCCAGGAAGAAAGATTCAGGAAATAGAACTAAGGAAGTAGAACACAGGAAGAAGGATTCAGGAAATAGAACTCTGGAAGTAGAAAACCGGATGTGGGATTCAGGAAATAGAATTCCGGAAGTAGAACACAGGAAGTAGGATTCAGGATATAGAATTTCATAAGTAAGAACACAGTACATGGTATTCAAGAAATAGAATTTCGGAAGGAGAACACAGGAAGTAGGATGCAGGAAAGAGAATTCCAGAAGAACACAGTAAGTAAAACGCAGGAAATAGAATTGCAGAAGTAGAATACAGGAAGTAGG